GCTCTCTCACTCTCTCACTCTCTTGCTCTCTCACTCTCTCCGCCACACACGCACACCGCAAACGTGCGGCCCGGTGTGGCGCCAGCAGTAGGTCGCGGTGGTGCGTTGCTGCCGCTCCATAAGACAAACATCGAGGTGCTTTATCTCTGTTACATACTCGGGCATCACTGCAGCCGGTACCCGCGAGGTGGCAGTCTAGTCGATGGAGAGGGGGTAGGGGTAGGAGGGGAGGGTGGCTGGGAGGCCTAGTGGGACTCAGTCCGCCGGGCACATTGGCTAGAACGTGACATGGTTCCTCCTCCTCCTGCCCCCCTCCCCGCATCTATCGCATTCTATTTTCCTTGTGGCCTTTCCTTTCATATGACCTCCCCCCCTACCCCACTCCTCCCCACTCTTTCTCTCCCCGTTACAATCTAAGTGTGTCTGTTATGCTGCTACCACCCATTGAAGGATGTCACTTGTGTCTGGGACGCACAGTGCTCCATATGTTCACCATCAACTGCGCTATGTGCTATAAGCACAAAACACCGTGCAATATCGCGTATCATACCATACCTGGCACTACCGTATAGTGTGGCCAGAAACGCAATTTAGTTACACTGTATCGCGTGTCGCGTGCAGGAGTGCAGACGCTTTGCGTACTCTAAAGCAAAGAATCATAAGACCGAAGGCGCCGTGGTGAGAGAGGGTTAGGCAAGCCCGCCCGCACGACAGCATGCGGTGCAGTTTAACTACGAAATATATCCAGGGCCTGTGGGGCACTCTGTTAACTGGCCAAGACGAGCGCGACAATCGAGCTGTTCCACACACTGACCTGTCGGCGTGCACGAGGAGTCCCTGATGGCCCTGGTGCCTGAGCGCCAGGACGGGGCTGGCGGCGGCGAGTCCTGCGGGTCCTGCGGGTCCTGTGGGTCCTGCGCTGTCACCCCAGTACGACGTCGGCGAGGGCTGCTCCATGGTTTGAGCACCGGCAGCAGGACGAACATGGGACCGGCTAGGAGAGGGCTCCGAGAGGGCGTGGCGGCGCGTCGCGGCGCGGGGCGCAAGGGCGGGGCGGGGCGGGTGTGGGCGGGGCGCGACACTTGATCGTGCCCCGGGCGGGCCACCTCACTGCGTGCGGGCACAAACAACAACAACACACGCGTGATCCTGTACGGCGGGGCGGCCAACAGGGCGGCGCACTCCGACACGACGGCGGGATAGCGACGACTGAGCAGACAGCTGCTGCCGCGGCCCGGGCGCCCCCGCCCCACCGCGCCCCGCCCCGCCGCGCCTTGGAGCCCCACGCCGCGCTCCACGTGCCGGCCGCCGGCCCCGGGCCCGGCCGGCCCGCCGTGACGTCAGCTCACGCGACAAGCATGTGTTCTGGGGCCGCCCCGCCGCGCCCCGCCACTCGCCGCCCCGCCCCGCGGGCCCCGCAGAGGCCCCGTAGCGGCTCCGCTCACGTGGACGGCAACGCGACAGCCGCGCCGTGCCGAGCAGCGCCTCCTCGGCCGCGGCGAGCGGGCCGCTGCACCGACCGCCGCGTTTGGGCGCGCAGTTTGAAACTCGGGTGGGCGTGGCAGCAGAGCTCGAGGCTGCGGCGACAAGACACTCAGGCATTCAGATGATGAGCTGCTTTGCTGCATGCGGCACGACCACGAACCGCGCCCCATTACTCAGTGGTTGTCCACTCCGAATTTCAGGGTTTTCATCTCTGTCTCTCTTTTCCCAGAAGACGCCCTCTGGTGCGAGAGAGACACACCATAGAATCCCGAAACTTTAAGAAGTCGAGGGCGAGCCGGCCCTGCGCCTCAGAGGTAAAAGGTTCCTCTGAAGTAGTGGTGCCGGATGCTTCCAGAGGCGCGGTGGCGGTGGTGGTGCCAGGTCAGGTCAGGCAGCTCACGCGACACTCCACGTGTGACTTTGGCGGCTGGAACTCCTTCTCGTGCTGCCGCCGCTCTCCTCTGATGCATCGTCAGTTACGTTATGTCATGCGTTGTTTAGTGTTTGTCTTTCCCAAAATACATCTGCGTAGATGACACGGCCCCTACCCCCCCCCCCCTCGCCCTCTTTTGGCAGTGGCAGTAGCGTTGTCGAGTCCTCTCTTAAAATAACTGAACGATAACGCTTGACGGACGGCGGGGAGGGAAGAGGGGTCACGACCGTCGCGACTTCGTTGTGTTCTCTTGCACCAACATGTTGCAGTTTGCTACGCGGCACGGTCCACTGGGCGGGGGCAGGGGGGCACACGAGCGGACTCCGCTGACCCGAGGGCCTGCGTGGAGCCCTGGAGGGAGGGCGATCGGAAAGTTCCCGGACTCTGCGATTTCCGGTCCCGATCTCGGATACAGTCTCCACAAGTTTATTGTTTTCTCTCTGCCCCAATGCAGACAATGCACTAAAATCGACCTCTCTTTTATCCTTAAAAACGACACGCGAGTCTCGTTATTTTTGTCGACGCCCGACAACTACAACAGCAAAACAGCAGCAGCCTCCGTGCTGCGACGCTTTGGGTCAGCTAGCTAAGCGCCGGTCAGAATATGCGGGCGAGGAGGGGGCGAGCGGGGCGAGGACAGGGAGGGAGAGGCAGGGCAGAGTCACACCAACACGTGCCGGAGGTCGGCGCTCGGCCGCCAGAGGCGCCGCCGCGCGACCGGCGTTTGTGTGATGATGCTATCGGTGATGCACGCTGCACGCCAGGATGGCTTCTGCCTGGAACATCTCTTATGTCCCGTATGCCATACGGGGTGGAGTAGGACGACGGGCTGGACGGAGGTTGGCATGGAGCCACCTCAAACGTCAAGGGAAAGACTGCTTACTCCACAAGGAACCCCCCGGGTGGTGGGTGCAAGTTCTTGTGGTGGCATACCACTACAGACGAGCTGGCTACACTTCACCCGACCTCACCAGGCGTGCCTCGTGCTCGCAACATGTGCAAAAAAGGAACGAAAACAGGGGCAAAACGACAGCTAAAAATTGGCACTGCACTGGAAATGCAAGTGTGTGAATGTCGCTCACCTGCAGGTGAGCGACATTCCATTCGTACACTTAGGGGGGTAAAGGTGTGAATTTTTCCTAGAATATTCACACGTTTACCCCCCTAAGTGTACGAATGGAATGTCGCTCACCTGCAGGTGAGCGACATTCACACACTTGCATTTCCAGTGTGGAGCGCGAGCGCGAGCTATTGCGTGAGCCGAACGAAGTCGGTACAAGCTTGAATTCTGATCGGAAAGTCTACGGGTTTGGTGTGCGATCAGCGACCCGCGAGAGCACACGGGACGGACACTTACTAGAACTTCTCGCTTGGTTTGCTCCGTGGCTACCCCTCTCTCCAATCACACCAAAACTCAGGTCCAAATGGTCTAAACCCTTGGCACTTTGTCCAATGTCCAACAAACTTCCGCCTTGCAACCTAAGAATGGCTCATTTGTTCGTCACACCGTCAACAAATGCCCGTCAGTCTCAGGCTTGATGGTCACAGGCTTTCCGCATCCCCGGGCGTAACCTCGGCTATGCCGAGTAGAGCCGAGAGGAGCCGAGAGCGGGGCCGAAGGCGAGCCGAGCAGCCCGGGACTGGGTTAAGACTGGCCGGACCGATGTGTTTACTTGGCACCTCGTGGTCAAAAACGTGACCGGGCCCACTCGACTGCTGCTCGAGCTGAGCTCAGCCCCGCCCCCGCCGCTCCCCGCCACGCCCGCGTGCACTTCTTGCACCAACAACACGCCCCGCCCCGCCTCGCCCCTCACACCCCACCACGCCGCTACAGTTGCGTTTTTTTCCGCCACCCGGCCGGGGCGCGGCGTCCCGGCCGCCCCGGCGCCGCAGAGGGGCCCAACGCTCCTCACGTGCCGCACCACGCTGCAGTCGGGCCGGCCGGGGACGCCCGCCTCGGCGCACCAGACATATGACTCCACTGTTTTCTCTCTCTGCACAATGATACTTTTTAGTCTTTTTGCGACGTTTGTATCACAATTAAACCAAATACATATCCGATTTTCCTCATCTCTAGACCCCCCCCCCCCCCTCTGACTGTAAGACTGCCGCTGGACAAATTATTTTTCTTTATTTTCTTGTTGCGGTGTGCGGCTTTGGCGGCGTCATTAGGCGTCCTGGCTGACTGGTCGCGGCTGGAGCCCGGCCCCGGCTGAATGGCACACGGAACAGAGAAATAAATCGGCGCGCGGCAAAGCCCGACCACGGCACCTCGAAAAAAATCCAAATAAATAAAAAGAAAATATACAACCGCGTGGGTGGGATGTGAGTACATATTTTTCTTTCTCTCTGATTCTTCTACACCGCAGCCGATTGATTTCCGTTTGAGAAAGAAACGGTCCTGAAACGGTAAACCCACGAGTGAAGCGCCGGCGGCGACCGCCTGCGCGCGCTGCTGATGCTGGTGCTGCGAGCAGCGAGCGGCCCGAGCGCCGCGACGGTAGGCAGACCCGCCACGCTCGCCCGCTCGGCACTCGGCCCGCCTGCCGCGCTCGCAGGCGCTCGCCGCTCCTCAGAGCTCAGCGGAGTCGGAGCGGGTGGCTTTACGAAGAGGCGTGTCGTTTAAATTGCTGAGCGCATCGACCACCATACCACCACCACCACCACCTTCTTCTTCTTTTGTTATTGCACTGCCCTGGCACGGGGACGCGGGCGGATCCATCCCCTCCCCGCGGGCTCGGGCTGGTATCGACAAACACCCTGAGGGACCCTCAGCCGGCGGGCGCCTCGGCTCGGCCCTCAGCATTGCGCGGAAAGTTTATCATACCCGGCTGGGCCCGGATAGAAAAGCGGGGCGGGTTGACCACGTGACCACACCACCAGCCACATTTGCATAGGGGTGCGATACCCATCGCGAATACGGCGAACACCACGGTCGGGTCATTAGCGAATGGCAGGCGTTGTTCGCGCGCAAACGCGGGACGCGGGCGGAGGCTGATAGGCGATCTGCACTGCTGCAGCCCCCGAGGCAAAGCGCGGGGGCTGCTCGGTGGGGGGCAGGGTGAGCTGCTGCGTGGCTTTCTGTAACACATTATTGCCTCGGCGACACGGTGAAAAGAAAAGGTCAAATTGGTCGAAAGGTGGCCTCATCGAGGGCGTTCTGAACGTGATGTGATGCCATGCCCGTGTCGGGTGGGGCGGAGGCGTCGAGGAAGCCATGGTCGTAAACGTGACGACCGGCCCCGCCAATCGTCGGGGGGGTGCCCTGTCACATGGGCGGTGGTGTATATAGGTGCGGAGCAGGAACTTGTCGCGAGGGGGAATTGAAGGAGAGAGGCGTTTCTTGTACGTCCGTCTATCGAAAAACGTGCCGCGCGGGGGCCCTTGCGCAACTTGATCGGCAAGGTCACAGAGGCCAGGCGCCGCGGCTTGACACATCACGGTGGTGGTCGGAAGGAATAGAGCGAGGGGAGGGATAGGGGGGGGGGGGGAATCGACCCTCGGGCTGTCCAAAACTAGGCAAATTGCGCTAAATTACTCCCTGCACGCAGCGGGGCAGCCCCGGGTGAATTCGAGGAGGGATCTGAAAACCAACCCTCTTGTCCTCCCGCGCGTCGCGTCGCTCGTTGCCGAGTCCCGCCGCCGTGGTATGGTGGTGAAGGGCCGCGTCGTCCGCTTCCCCCCAAGCCCTTGCAGGCCTCGCCAGCCACGAGGAAGCCCGTAAAATGGGAATTCCGAGGACGTAATTGAATATTTATCAGTGTCTTGTGCGCCTGCCGCACGGAGCTCCTCTGACGGCGGCGTGGCCACAGTGGGGCGGGGCGGCGCGCCATCGTTACTCAGGCGCTGCTGCAGGGAGGCCGTAAGGGAGTAGGCCGTGTTGCACTGTGCCGGCTGCAGCCTCACCGCTCCGCCCAGCGCCCAGCCGCCGCCGCCCCAACCACGCGGCACCCATGCCGAGCAGCGAAAGAGGGAAAAAGGCAAACAACCCCCCTTTTCTGCGGCACGACGACCATGTTCGAGATTCAATTTGCTTTCCCGAAGAAACAACTCCGTTGGCACGCGGCATGACGGAGCGTGGGGCGCGTCGTCACGCGGCCAGGGCGCCCCGTCCCGCCCACCACCCTGAACGCGGTCCGCGCGCGCGCCGCGCAGCCGAACATGAACACGACCACGACCCCCGCTTCCCGAGATTGCCTTTCCTTTTCCACTTGATTGGGTCATTATTTGTTCGCTCCCTCCTCCGGCAACCTGGAGGGAGGCACATCTACATCTACCCGCCCCGCCCCGCCCCGCCCCGCCCCGTCCAGCGCAACGCTCATTTACTCAGGATAATGACGTCGGGCCCGGGCGGACCGCATCCGGACCCCTAAAGGTGAAGTGTCACCGCCGACCGCCGCGGCCAGCGACCGCCTCCTGCGCCCTCGCCCTAACCCTCGCCGTCACGCTACGCCAGGCCACGACGCCACGCCATCCTGAATGTTGATTTTCTTTTCGGCTTGCCAGAGGAGGCCCGGTTGGCCGGCCGGCGAGGCGCGGCTGCACCGCACGAGAGACACGGTGAGAGAGAGCGACTTGCACCTCCTCGTCAAACATTTCTTTTATACCTCACCCGTCAGAAGTACGGGGAGGCATTGTCAAGACATTGTTCACGGGTGGCGTTTGCAAAGCCTCGGCGCTTTTTTGGCCCCTAAAAACCCCGAACTAAAAACTGTCGATGGTTCCCTAAAGGACTCTGAGGAGCTTGAAGGACCTGATGAAAAGTGAAAAGGACTTAGGGACCATCCAGAAAGTACGTCCGTCATTCGCCGTTACGAACCTATTAAGTTCAAGGCTTCGCAAGCTCTCATAGCGCCTGATAGTAGGCAACATCTCGCCTGCAGTGCATGCGTGCAGTGCGGGGTGGCCTACCCTGCGGTTCGCAGGCGCCTAGCTTCCGCAATTTTCAAATGAATCTCAGGAAAAAAGGACGTACTTTCTGGACGACCCCTTATGCCCTTTTCACTTTTTACCAGTGATGTGGTGTAGCGGGGGTCGGGTCGGGTCGGGTCGCGGTGGCGCCGCCGGCTGCGCGCATGCACCTCATTACTGCAGGTGACCATATCGCCGGTGTAATTTACTGCTGAGTGGTCATTTCCTGCTCCTGCAAGCTGCAAGCATATAAGCGCAGGGCCTACTACTACGACGTAGCACTGGTACACGACGGCCTACCCGGCCTCCTTATTATTGCAAAAAGTTGTGCGCGCGCGTGGCACAAAACACAGAAAGAACAAAGGAAAAATAAAAAATAATTGCAACACGCGAAAATAATGTCGTCGCTGGGGGTGGCACTCGAACCTAGGACAAATTGTCGTGAGCGCACGTGTGTGTGTGTGTGTGTAAGTGTGTGTGTGAGTGTGTGTGTGTGAGTGTGGAAAGTAGTGCTCCTCGGTGGGCTCCTTACAGCGAGCCGGGAGGGGTGTTTACGCCTGATTTATACTCGCGGGGTGTCATGGGCCGGCCGCACGCGAGGGCGCCAAGTGCAGTGTGCAGCGGGGAGCTTATCTCTCCCCGAGACGCACGTGTATATGCATCCGTGTGGTTGGGCGCCAGGAGGGCGCCTACCCCCGCCCCGCCCCGCCACGCCTCGCCCCAACAAAAACACTCCTCGCTCGCCACCACCGCCACCGCACCTTGGCCCTTGGCCTTTGCCTCCCCTGGCCTGCTGGCTTCGCCGTGTTCCTATTAATTTACGATTACGGCCCTCAGGTTCGCCTCGCCGGCCGAGAACCAATAAAGGGGGCGCCATTAGGCCCGGCTGCGGGAAGAGCGAAGGGGCGCAGTATGTTGCTGCCGTTGCCGCACGCCACGCTTGTCGGCCGCGACGGCGGAGGCAGGGGCAGGGGCAATACAAGGGCAGGACGGCGACCTGGCGGGGCCGCAAGCAGCAGCCAACGAACGGCAATGCGAATGGCAATGTGACGGAACGCGGTCATTCATTTCCAGTTCTGACACCCTCATGAACTCTTTCGGATCACCCCTCTCCTCCTCCCCCGCCGCCGTGCCCCGCAATAACTTGGGGCCTCTCGTGCCGGCTGGCAACAATGCACTTAATCGTGACACACAAGGGCCATTTCCTGCGGTTCCTTGGCGCGCCGCACCACCACGTTGTGGCGGCGAGGAGGGGGTTGTCGTGGGGCGGGCGGGGGAATGTGTCGCGCGGTTTCCTGCAAGGCGGTGAGATACCCGGCTGAACCAGCGCAACTCTGCAGGACGGCCCGCAGAGTTACGAGCCCCATTGTTGTGGTGGCGGTCCTGGGCCTGGGCCGGGCCTATCCGGCGGCGCAGCCCCGACATGGATGTGCTGCTGCACCGCTACGGAGGCCACGGGAGCTTGCGTGTCCCCGACGGGCTGCCGCAGCTGGTGTGCGACATCAGCAGGGAGGTGGGTGCGGCGCTCGGCGCGGACCCCGGGCGGGGGCCGGCGGGGGCGGACCGACCGGGCGGACCCTCATCCATCACAGCCGCCCCCACCGACCTTCCCGAACCGGAAGACCGCCGCGCATCATCAATTTCGCGCCACTTTTTTCACTTACTCGCAAACTGGGCCACGCAAGAGTTTGCGTCGAGCGTTTCCCATGGCTCGCGTTTCCGGCAAGACGACGACGACGACGCAGACTCGCGGCTGCATTATTTATATGTGATCGCCATCATGTTTTCCTCTGACAGGTGCTGAGGAAGCAGCCCTCGAACTTGTACTGTTTCATCGCGGACTACCTCGAGTCGCTGCTCACCACCGAGGAAGCGTCTAGAGGTAAACTACACACGAGAGCAGTTAAAAACGTTTCCATTTCACAAAGTTCCCGCTGTGCATGTCGTTAATAAAGCCAAAAGCCTCACTTCGCAACAACGGTCAGAGAGGAAGCCGAGCGCGCCTTGCGCCCGCTCCCGACAATCCCGCGGGGAGTAAACGCTCTCGGCATGCTATGGGGGCCCGCGACACTCTCTGATTGCGAGTAAATAATAACCTCCGCGTCCAATGCTCGCCGCCGCCGCGGCACGCGCTCCGCCTTTTCGACGTTTTGATTTGTTCGCGCCAATCGCGCGCACGCCACACTCCGTGACTTCTCTGCGCTCCGCGCTGCCGCTCTCTGAACAATACGACAACGCAAAAGCTCAACGTCGAAGCAAAACCGCGCACCTGTTGCCGCCCTTTCATGAATTTAGCATTTCACCCAAGCGCTTTTCGACATCTCCAAGAACAAAAATACCGGAAGTCGAGCAGATTTGGAACGTTCTTGGCCATTGAACACGTTAAGATTGAAGCGGTTCGTGCCGTAAGAATAAATTTTTGACTAAATTAAGGTCGGAGAAGAGAAAATAATTATGGGTGGCATTGACGACAAACCTCTAATATAAGTGACGCTTAACCCTGACTTCCGGTATTTTTGTTCTTCGAGTTGTCGAATCGCACACTGGTCAAATGGTCTATTAACCGCAGCGCATACCTGATTTCTGCTACTCGTCTGCTCCATTCAGCCATGTGCGACATGATGACGGACTTCTTCGCGGAGCTGGGCGGCGGGGAGACGGCGGCCTCCGGCACGGGGCCGAGCGGGGAGCTCGACCTGAAGGGCGCCGACCAGCAGCAGCAGCAGCAGCAGCAGCAGCAGCAACAACTGCAGGCGGAGGGCTGGCCGCAGCAGACGCAGGTCAGGCTGGCGTGATGTCCGCGTGCTGGAGCAAGCAACTCTCAACGTCCAACTTTCGAGTTTAATCGCCTCGTCTCGTGGCGAGCTTATACTTCCCCCTGCTTGCCGCCGGGCGTTGAGGGTGCGTGGAAGGGCTCCGCTGCCGCCGCGGGCCCGGTGGTGGCCCGGCAGTCCCCGGCGGGGCGGCTCCCGCCACAGGGAAACGAAACGAAACAAACATTTGCCTTTCGGTGGCGCGGGGCGGGCGCGCCCGAGTCACGTGTCCGCCCCGGTCACGCGGCGCCGAGCAGCGCGACCCCGACCCGCCGCCGGCCGGCGAATCTCAAAATCGCGAATGGGGTCCACCGTCCCATCCGTCCCCTTGTCATGGAAATGCGATGCTGCGCTGGACCAAGGCGCTGCCGTCGCTAGGGGGGTTCGGGGCCGCGTATGGGGCCCGTATAGTGGCTGATTTATTCAGCAGTACGAGCGTACCCCACCCCTCCCCCCTTCTACCGGCCGGGCCGCTCCGCGCTCCGCGTGCCCCATACATCAAGAGCGTATGTCACGTGGTGGATCCCGGCCCGGCTCAAGGCTCGTCGCTCGCCGGGTGACGGCTATCTCGGCCCGCGCGGCCCGGCCCTGTCCGCAAAATGGGCGGCGATTTCCAGTGTGCGGTCCCGTGTCGTGTCGTGCGCAGCAGCCAGCTCGGCCTCTCCGGGCCGCGTGAGCAAGTTCCATAGTCAGTCGCGCAACCACGCCGCCGCCGACCTCCCCCCTGAGGTCCGGCTGGGCGGAAGACGCCGGCCCCCATGCTACGACGGACCTGATGCTATCGCATCCATCCACGTCCAGTTTGCCGCTTGTAAAAATCGGAGCAGGGGGGAGCAGGGGGTGAAAAGGGAGAGTGGGCGTCCACTTTTGGGGGCGCTTTGAGGCGGTCATTCTCACCACAAGCCCCCCTGAACCGAGCGCGGTGAGGGGTCGCGAAAACGGAGCAGGGAGGGGCCCAGCGGGAGTGGTGGCCACCGCACCGGGTGCCCTGTGATTAGGGGGCAGGGCGGGGCGGGGGCAGGCCACCCAGGCGTTGCGTTTAGGGTGGTTTATTGCCGCTGACAGGTCGGCCCGCGGTGGGTCGGCCTGACGGGCGGGGGAGTGCGGAAGGGTCGGGCGCAGGCGCGCGGGGCTGGTTCGGCCGACCCCTGCGGTCACAAGACGAGCAAAGTGATCCCCGAAAACAGGTCTGCAAGCTCACCACAACCAGCACAACCACCACCCTCTACCCACCCCCAACACCACCTCTGAGGCCAAAGGGGCGCGCGCGCCCGCGCGAGTAAGTGTGTGGGTGGTTTTCATAACTACCCTACCCTCAAAACACGGACGTAGCAGGAAACTGTGGCAATCGCCCCCAGCGAAATGGCGTAACCAGGGAGAAAATGAAAAGTGCTCTGGTACTTAAGCCCGGCTCGTTCCCACACGCATATGGTCGAGCTATAAACTGTGGCGTGTCCAATTTGTTGTTGTTGTTTTTTTTTTTTTTGTTTTTTTTACGAGACTTCGTCGACCTCTGGTCGGCCTAAGCAGCGCTTGGCGGCGCCCCCGCCTTGCCTTCCGCGCGACTCTGGCTGCCCCGGCGCCCTTTCAGTCACCATTTACTACAGGCTCACCCCGGGCCCGCCAGACGTTACGTCCCCGTCGCGGGGGTCACGGAACGCGCGGGCGGGGAAAGTTGGCGCGGCCCAAAAGACTTATTAGGTACATATTAGCATTAACATTGGGCCCCGGAGCGGGCCGGGGGCCGGGGCCTCACGCCCTTGACCGCAGCAGCCACCCCGCCGCGCTCCGCCGCCGCCCAGATACAATCTCCTGTGCGCCCCCGCCCCTTTCTCGCCGCCGGTATTAGGGAACCGAGTTTGGGGGGGCTTTGATCGACTCGCTCGTCATTAGCCCAACGCCTTGCAGGCCGGCGCTGGTGGTGGTGCACACAACGACCTTTGTGCCTCTCCCGAGCTGAAAAGTAGTAGCAAAGCTTTTGTACTTTTCGCCAAGCAAGGTTCTTCATTGTTTGCGTGTCTTCTTTTGTGTGTGTGTTCTCTTTCTCTTTAAGCGAGAATCGGAGGAGGAAAAGTGGTTACGAATCGCCGGCATTAAGGACGCGCAACAAGGTCTATCCTCGGGTCGGTAATGAACGAGAAAGGCGCGGTTTCACTTTACTACGGGGCGGCGGTCGCTTCAAATTGAGTTGCCCGCGCTGCACTCTGCATAATTCAGCGGGTGCAGAGGGCGCGAGGGCGGCGGCGGCGGCGAGGACCGGGGGCGGGAGGGGGGCGGCGGCGGTATAATCGATCGTGGGGGCGGGGGGGCGCCGTATGACCTCCCGGAGAGGAGTTGGGGTGCAAGGGGGTTGCGGGAGATAGAGAGAGAGGGAGATGCACGCAGCTGCTCAGTGGGTTTGCGGTGTGTGTGTGTCCCGCACAGGAGCCCGCCGCCCTGCAGACGCGCTGCCGGAGGCCACCGCAGCAGCAGCAGCAGGGGCAGCAGGGCCACGGCCACGAAGGCGGCGAGGCGGCGAGCGAGCGGGAGGAGAGGGAACGCGCCGCGTCCCCACCCTGTGAGTGCCGGGCGGAGCTGAGCTGAGTGGAGCGGCAAGCGCGCGGCGAACGCCGTGTGTGGGAGGCAGGCCGGTAGACACGCGTGCGCTCGCACGGACCGGCTGCCTACCTCCCAGGCGCACGGTGCTCCAAGTCTGTTAGTTACGCTTGGGGGTCGTGCGCATTCTACCGTGTTGAGGGAAAAAAATTAAAAATAAATCATGGACCACTCAGGAGGAGATTCCAGCCTAACGTAGCGAGGCCTGTGATATTTATATCCCAGGGTACTTATTGGGTGGGCTGTATGAGTTCTTTTGGGGTAGTTCTGAACCTTCTGAGGGACTATAATTTTTTTATACGGGGCGGGACTTACTTACTCTAACTTACCTGGTGCTTCACGCCAGCGGAGCCGCCTCGCGGCCCCTCGAACTCCTCGCCGCTGCTGGACGAGTACGGGTCGTACGGGTACGGGCCCGGGGACGTGCCCCTCGGGGTGCCGCTGCTCGGCGCGTCCCTGGGGCTCTCGCTGGGGCTGGGCGCGATGCTGCGGGCGCCGCACCACCTGGCCGCGGCGCCCTCCACGGAGGCGGCTGCGACGGCGGCCGACCCGCCGCCCGCACCCCCGGTGCTGACGATCACGTCGGCCGACGGCACGACCCGGCAGTGGCACGGCTGCCCGGCCGTCGAAGCCCCGGGGGCCACGCAGACCGAGCCCAAGGCGAGGAGCGCCCTCACCAACCATCCGAAGAGAGCGCCGTCAGTCAGGGACCCCACGCTCCAGCAGCTCCTAGAGCCCGGCTGTGAAGCGCTTCCAGAACCAGCTCCTGGGTAAGCGCTGGCTGCTCTCCCACCCTCTCTCCCACTTCCGGGGCTCTGCACTTTCCGCTCGACGCTTCAGCGCGGCCAGGGCGTTCGAGAAGGAGGGCGCCGTTCCAAAAATACGCCCAGTCCCCGTCCCGAGCCCCGCCGATTGCGAGCCCCTCGTCCAGAGCCCGCGCGAAGGACGCGAGTCCGGGAGGCGGCACACGTTCGTCGACCGGGACGAGATGGACGACATCGGCGATCAGCTCGACAGCATTCTGGCCGTGAACCAGCTGGGGCTGCTGTCCGTGTTCGAGGCCATGACGGACACCAGCGATCTCGCGGACCCGGAGGGCTCCGACTCGGACGACACACTGGTTGGCACCCCGCCGGTGTCCCCGCGCTACTCCGTCACCTTCCCCGCGGAGGTCCTGGGCGCGGAGCAGGGCGCTGACGTCTGCTTCCACTACGGCGGTGTTGAGCTGGACGGTGCCTCACGGGCTTCGGTGAGGAGTTGAATGTTTGTGTGTGTGTGTGTGTCGCATCGGTTTACTTCCCAGTTCCCAGTTCTGCGGACATGCTCACTGTGTGCCATGTTACAGGACCCATCCGTCGGCCGTGAGGGCAATTCAGGTCAGGCAAATGGGCTGATTAGAAAGGTCCCAGACTGAAGGTAATTTTCTTTATAAGCTGACGCGCATATTACATTTCAGATTCGGACGACATAGCAGCTCGCCTTGAATCGAGGGGTGTTACCACAACCTCGGATCAGTGCACAGAAAGATCCGACAACAATTACGCGCTTTATTAGTGATAAATGGGTACATGTATAAGATTTGGAGAGTAATAGACAATAAGTTTTATTTTAGCGACATTATATTTCAAACCTGTAAAGGGCTTATAAACTTATAACGTTGGCCGATGGTTGTTTACCATTGGACATAAAACTATGAACTCGACCAATAAATGGTGAAAATGACGTCTCTGCTTGGAGAACACTACTTGTGCTTGACACTGGTAAGCCAAACATGAACAGAGGCGTCAATCTGACCATACTCTTTTCCACAAAGGTACAAACGTACGACGGATCCCGAAAAAATACTCATTCGCTCACCGTGGTCCAAGTCATATCGTCTACATTTTTAAAACTACGATAACTATATATCACTTTACATTACACGAAATATAAATTTTAAAGTATCTCTTATGAAAACGAGGAACACTCTCCAAATGCGCGTGGCGGAAAGAAAAATGTGTTTTTACGCCGAAAACCCTTTGTGCGTAGCTTTTGCTGCTGGTTTTGTGCTATTGTTATGTGGCAATAATAGGAACAACAATACCATGGGCAACTCAAATGTCTGGTTAGCGGCAGCACCGTAAGCGGCAGTCTAGATAGGTCTAGATGAAATCACACCGGGTCGCGATGAAACAAAAAGTCAAAGGTTTGAGCAAATTTAACTATCCTACACTGCATAATTTCAGTTCAACAACTCGGATTCACATACTCATTTATCACATCGTCTAAACCCAGGAACGGTCTTTAGCAAAAGGATCATCCGAGAAATTGAAGACAAAGAAAGCGTAACCAAAATAATTCACTTTCTATTTTATCTGGTGGAGTTCATAAAAATATCGAGTTCGAACCACGTTTTCCTAAAAACCTGTTTTTAACTATAACTAACGACTTCAATAATTTTAGATAAAAAAGCACGTGTGGCAATATTGTCGTGTCGATTATGTTCTTCTAAGCCAAGCCATACTTTGGCTTACCCTGATTTTCATAGCTATGTTCACTTAACTGCACAGTAAAATTTGGTAAAATTCTTACATATTGGAAGAATACTGCAACTTTCTGTGCAGGCTAAACAATTTGTGCCCTCAAACATGGAGTTTTCCTTTTCTGACTTAACATGAACATCGCTGAACTACTCAGTCCGTTTTCCGCAATACTAAAGAAAGTTATGGGATTGGTAACCAAGTTTTTCTTTTACCTGAATCGCCCATCTTACGAGAAGAAACAAATTAAGTAGCAAGATCGAGTGCCTCACATAAGACTAAGTATGAGTTGGTCACATTATTGTTTCTTCTGTTGGGCTCTCATTCTTTAACGTAAAACAGACAGTAGTCGGCATATGACAATATAATAAAGCTCTGAACGTACAAATCCTATTGGTCATCGTACGTTTGCGAGTGCTCTACACGGAAAAAATCTTGTATTAAAAATGTATAAAATACAGCACTGCCAGCAGATTTTTTCTTTTAACAAGAAAACTGCATCGGTCCTCCTAAGATATTTTTTCATCGTACCCTAAAACTTATGGAATTTTAATAGTATGACAAAGGAAGAAAATCACAATCAAAATATCGTTTCGACAATAAACGTCATACTACAAAAGGAGAGACACGCAAAAAGGGAAGACCAACAATAAGTAATCGGAAAGAAGCTTTGAAGGAGAGACGCTTGTGCGGCACAGATGAACATATTCACAGTAATAGTCAATCTTAGAAAACTACGGTAAGAAGCGATCGGCGGGACGACCTAGCTGAGTGGCGTGGCCGGCGAGGTGGGGTGAGTGCTGAGGCTCCAGGGCCGCGCCAGTGCGGATGTGGAGAGGGCGGTGAGCACGGTGAGGCCCGCGGTGAGCGCCGGCAGCGGTGCCTCCCTGCTGCCGCCCGCGCTGAACCGCCGCCGCTTGCCGGACTCATTGTACTTGGTGCCCGGCGGGTCCAGGCACGTGTACTCGCAGCATCGCTCACCTTGTGAGATGTTGCGGCATCTCTGCGGACAGACGAGCGAGTCAATCGGGCTACCTCGGGGGTAAATGGCTCGGGAGGGGGTGTGCTGTGACCGACGCCCAACAGCCGAGAAAAGATGAGAGGGGAAACGTTTTTGGCCGTGACATTCGGCGGATGCTTCATGAGTTTCGTGCTAATCTAAGGATAGCAATGTCTCTACACGAGGAAGCTAGAGAAAAGCCAATCAAAAAGTGTATGTTTAAATGTCTTTAAAAAAATAAAAACTAGTGAAGACAACAGGTTGGTAATATGAATACATGCAAGTGTCTAGTAAAGCACTGCACAATTTCCTAGAAAGCTGCTGTAGATAACAAAGCATCGATTTAAAAACAAATATACAAAAATGGCGATAAAAATGTTACAAGAAGTCGCACAGACCAGCATATAGTCTAATAATTAATTAATAGCGGTAGAAGTCAAAGCTTTATTTTTCTTATATACTTATTTTGGAATAACTGTAGTTAATTGAAGTACGCCTGCGCAAGATGCGTGATTTACACAGTGCACTTTCGTACACCGGCGAATCAAGAGTAAAACGTCATATCTTTTTAGCTGCTAAGAGGGAATTTTGCCTTCGAAAACCTTTACAAGGACATATGAACGGCCCAAAGGTGCAAAGTTGTAGTTCCCTTGGAACATTTAACGCATTTCTAGATGCATTAAGGCTTTTATGCCGGTTAAAAAGACTATGTCTTGCTTTTGTTTACACCAAAAGTCCACTAAGCCTCACTGCGCTACTCATAGCGCCTGCAACGCGCTGGGTAGGCCAACCCGTCAAGCAGCCGTGTGGAGCTGGCGGCTCGCCCTGTTGGCGCTCCAGAGTAAAGGGCGCGAACATGTAACCTACTCGTACTCTGCGGTACACTGGAAATCCATGTGTGTAGATGTCGCACACTTGTAGGTGTGTGACATACATACACTTGGGCTTTCGGTGTACAGAACAAAATACCGGAGCACGTGACCTGATGGCGTCCACAAATGCATCATATTCTGTCACTGAAACTGCTGCTTCATGCATGTTACACTGTTGAGAACGGAACGTTCAGTCGTTTTGTAGTGCGTGTGAAGAAACAATCCTTGTTGAATGAAACACTGTAGTCTGGGTGAATAATCATGTTAAATTATCTAAATGCTGTCCAACTTTGTTCGTGCACGAATTGGAAATAGGTTTTGCGATAGTGAAGGAGGGCAAACGGGAAAAAACAAAAGTGAAAATAAAAAAGTGGCGCTCCCAAGGAACATACAATAGGATACTTCAATGGAGCATGCAAAGGAAATAAGAAGAACAAGACCGGATCCAGAGAGTAATGGTAGAAGGAGTGCTCGTGCACTCCCCCCAGGCCATCCCCACCACCATAGGCTAACTCTCTGGACCCCTTTGTTGTTCGTACTTACTTTTTGGGCTCCATTGAAATACCCATAAGGTTCATAGATATCTGTCTTAAGCACAGAGAGTGTCGGAAGCCATAATATGGTGGGGGTAAATTTACGTAGATTTGTGCTTTCATCATATTAGTCTACCAGTGCCCATAAGAGATGGAAAATAGAAACTTCAAAAAACGTCTATTTTTAAAGGTGCCAGAAGAAGGTTGGCTAGACTCCAATGTTTCTACTATCGGATTTATACAAGTTCATTTATAATTACGAAAAAAACGCGTCGCGAATTAGCATTTCTAACGTGCCGACTCTGTAGTTTGCCAACTTGCCAACTACTCATAGCAAATCAAACGTTCTACTCAGCAAGAAAATGCTGATTGAAACGCCATGTTTCGGTCGAAAAGACATCGAATCGATGTCACTTCGATATATAACTTCTAGAAGCAAAAAGGTTCATTGACTCCTAGTTCTGTAATTTACTTTTTTTAGGCCAATACTGTAATAATTCCGACTATAATACAAAAATATTTTTAGAGTTTCTAGAATGCTATTTGTAAAATATTATTCGAGTTTTAGTATTCTCAAATTAACTATTATTCAAAAATTCCCGCGTGAAATTTCACTCAAAGATTTGTTTTCTTAATCCAATGCAAAATAATTATATATTATAATGAAAGGTCTATTATCGTAGAGAGCCCAGGTCAAACAGGCGCGCTCTTAGTCCCCGATGCTTTTAGCGTTGGAGCCTTTGCATCAACGGTCCCAACGGGCTGCTGTTGAGCCATCTCTTTTTTGTGGTGCTACGAAAAATTGAAATAAAAATCTACTTTGTAATAAGGTCCTGCGCTAATGGAGGAAACAAACTATTGAAAATTACCATTGGAAAATAGAAAATGTTCTGTTCATATATGTCAAATACATTTTCAATGTATATGCCAGGTGCCACAAAAACATTGTTGGATTTTGATTTTGTCCGGATACCGGTGCCACTCTTTCACAATGACTGCCTGTTTATCGTACGATGTATAACCTCCCCAACCCAATACAAAACGGAGCTTCACAGTCACCTGGTGTATGAAAAAAACGCGTTGCTCCATAACATCTTCCATACATTTAATTCAATGTATGGCACTATTATTTTAATTACATTTTCTATTTTTGCAAGGGTAAAAATAAAATAAAATATGACTAAAAAAGTAAAGAAAAATGATCTCACGTTAGGGGGGTCACAGTAGATAGATTGGCACCACTTTGGCTCACTATGGTAACAGACACACAAGGAACAGACGCTGGGGCCCGGCACGTAGCGCAGACCGTGTTGGAATGTTTGGCCTTGGAAGTCGGTGCAGTTCGCTTCGAAGTTCTCTAAGGCATCACAACAGAGCCACCAACCAACTCAGAAATTAAATATTTATGAAGCTGAAATGATTATTTAAAAGAACAAAATGAATCAGATGGACAACTTGGAATTACACATGAAGGATGTGATATGATGTGATCGATGTGATGGGGCGGATCGCATGCCATCATTCTGAATTAAGTGACGACGCAGATGAGGTTGTGCCTAAGACCAGCTCACTATTGTGATTGCAAGGGTTGCGAGTGTGGTTGTGTTTGATTGTTAAGGATCCTAGCACGCGGAAAGTTTATATGTGAGCGAAACTGGAAGATTAGGGGTACTACTAAGTAAGGCCATGGTAAGGCAACGCCGTGAAACCAGTACACAGGGTTGTCCGCAGACACATTCCTTTAATTTAGTAATACTGTACCGCATGCAGGCGTGCGGGCGGGTTGCATACTCACACGGGGCCGTAAGGCACCGTGGTGAGAATCGGTAGGCAAGCCCACCCATACGCCTGCATGCGGTACAGTAGAAGCAAATTGAAGGAGGGTGTCTGTGGACCACCCTGTATGATCAGAGTCACATAGTACTTGGCGAAACGACGCCGTTCTATTACACTTCGCATAAGGTGCGGCTTTTGGTTATGGACTATACATTAATTAACAAAAACAAACATTCGGGGGTCCAAACTATTTCACAGCCAACATCGATAAGCTATAGTTTTTATGACAGCATCTTATCTTACAGAATACGTAAAGTGCACGAGAATCACATGTCAAACTTTCTTGCATTTTCGCTTCACCGGATATGGTCTTATAATGGCCGATGGCCACCGGTCTCGCAATTTAAATCATTCGCAAGCAATACTTTATACGTATTTCTAGTTCAAAGCAAAGATCGACTTTTTAAAATGACTCCCTTGATCCCGAAAAATGCTCTGAATATGTTCTCGTTTAGACACTTTTCGCGAGTAAGATGAGATTTCAAGGAACAGCACATAGCAAAGCTGGATGGGGAAGGGACGATGGGTATTAAGTATACGAAGAACAACACACACAGACAGGATGTAGGATGAACACAGACAGCAGCATTACAATATAGCAAGGGCGGTAGCCATTCAAAGTATATGTAACACACACGCACACACCAAAAAGTAATTTTAAAAAAATGGTTTGAAACAAAACTGACATTCTCATTCGTATAGAACAGTCAATAATTGAAGAGATAAAGAGATAGAAAGAGAGGGGGGCTGGAGAATCGACCCTCAGTGCTTGATGACAGTCACCAGTCTTTGACTAATTTGAGGAAGTTCTTTCCAATTTTGCTTACCCGGCTCCTCGTAGAGTATTCCCAAAGGATTTCCTGCAATCGAAAGAAAATGTTAAGATTAGAGGGTTGTGGGAGTAGCGGGCCGAGCGGGGGGTAGCGCGTAGCGAGCGCTGCGGCAGACGCGGGTAGACGCGGGCGGGGGATGCGAGGCGCGCAGCCTCGTCAACGCGCGAGTCGGATGAGTTGCCTGCATTGCAGGGGAACACGCACCGCGACACCCGCACCCCGCAGCCGACCCGACAATCGCCAGCCCACGCAGAACTGGAACGTGTGTGATGTGACTCTCTGTGCCTGAGAAGAGCTCGAGTCCGTTGACTATGGTTCATTATAGCGGCACAGACTATTTATTTGAGCGGAGAAAGAGCAAGGCTGGACCTCATAACCTTCGAGCACAGGACAGCGTATACTTACGGTGCACAATGATATGCATGCGAAACTAAGACATGTACCACGAATCCCGTTCCCGAAGTATTTTTTTAGAAATGGTGTCAGCAATATGCTAAACCGAAACGGGACAAAATCGAGTCCTCTCATGAACTTGAGGATAAATAATGTTCCTATCTTCCTAACAGAAGATTATTGGAAACGCCGACAGTGAATGCGCGTAACCATGGTAGAGAAAATAACAGGTCACCCGCTTGAACTTACCTGCTGCGAGACAAATTAACACAAATAAAACGATATTCGGTAGAAGCAAGGCGATCTTGAGTATTGACATTTTGCCGGAGCGGCTACGGCACGGCTACAGCACTGCTGGAGCGACGGCGCACTGCGCTGGCACTGCCGCTGCCTGCCACTGCGTCGTCTGCTAGCCTCGCTCGGCCAACCCCCTCCACCACTAGGGGTGGGTTGAGAGGGAAGAAGGGGGTAGATCGCGCCCGGCCAACCCACGGCAAAGCCCATGGCCGAAAATGAGGCCTTTGTTATACCGACAAGTTTTACCTTTTCGTCCTTGATTACCATCGTCTACTCAAACGAACAGTTTTTGTCTTGCTTCAAATCATAACAGGGAAATTAAGTGGCAAGACGGTCCTTAAGATTTTCATGAAACATTTTGGCAAGTTGGTGAAAAGAGCCTCTGGAGCTGACCTTGGCCTACGGTCAGGCCTAGCCAATCGCACTCCTTCAACCCCTAAAACGTCCCAGCACGTTCCGGGTCCAGGAGGTCCGGGCTCCCGCTATGTTCACAGAACGCTGAGCCGAATCATCAGTAGGTCACGATCAAATGGGAGTCTTGAGAAAATTTTGACAATACTTTCAGTCATTTGTGTCCATTTTTTGCTCTACAAGAGCCGCGAGCTTGGACAGTGTCGCTTTGGGTAGGATAAAGTAGTGGGGGGACTGCTGGTGCCTGATTGGTCATTCTGTGGTCGTGGTTGCAGTGGTTGTGGTGAAAGAGAGAGAGAGAGAGAGAGAGAGAGAGAGATAGACAGAGAGGGGGGAAGGGAGAACGAGAGCTGACGAACTACGTTGTTTTGAAGTCCTTCAAACAATCATTCTTACTCAAAATATGGTTTTCGTGCATTAATTACTTGGTATTGTTCCCCTTTTGTGATTAGAAATGGAGGCTATTAAAGCAGAAATAGCACGGAAGCGTAAACAGCTCTTGGAAAGTAATGTAATTGTATGTTTCCTCGTCCACTTTTAACCTTAATGTTTCGTGTTGTCATATTTCATTTCTATTTTGTGATTTGTGTCATTTTGTCGAGCAGCAACCCTCAGAGAAATATTTCAGACGAGGGGATCTTCTGAAGAAAGAGGAAGAAGACTACCAAAAGAAATATGGCTGTAGCTCAGTGTCTGAGTTGTCTGAATCTAAGGCATCGGGAGGTACAACAAAATCAAATTTGCCTTATCCAATTATTTTGTGCTTGTTATTCTTTATCCTCATTGAATTTTTTCGCTTAAATTTATTTCAGAGGGCAGTTCTGATGTGTCAGGCCCTGACCAAACTGAACTGCCAAGAAGAGAAGTTATCCGTCGTCTACGAGAAAGAGGTGAACCAATCTTTTTGTTTGGAGAGAGTGAAGCTGAAGCGTTCCAGCGTCTTCGGAGGGTTGAAATTTTAGAACCTGAGGTCAACAAGGTACATGTCACTCCTCATTACTCCTAGTAATTTTTTTATTTCAAGTGAGGATTTGATTGTAATAGAAATATACTGTGGGCTTTACCAGGGTTTCAGAAATGACTTCCAAGAAGCCATGGAAAGAGTTGATCAAGGTTACTTGGATGAACTTGTACATGAAGGCACATCTAAGGGAGAGGTGAAAGTGACAACAGTTGATGTCACATGGGAGGACATTCATCAGAATGTTGATCTAATTGGGAAGGGAGATCGAGATCTAGATATGAAAGTCACCCTCCAACTATTACAGGTATACTCCAAAAACTTTTTAAGTCTTGGTCACATATGTTTTGTTTTGAAGGATAAGCCGCTAACATTTTTTCTCCAATTGATTGCAGCTTTTACTTCGATTATGGGGAGAGCAACTTAACAATATTCCTGCAGCAGAAAGAAGAACAACTAAAGTTAAGATAGCAAGTGCTACTTATTCTCAAACACAAACCTACCTTAAACCTCTCTTGCGGAAGCTCAGAAGTCGCACATTACCGGAAGACATTTCAGATAGTCTTACAGAGATAACAAAACATCTATTAGATAGAAACTACTTAAAGGTATGATATGATCCATTTTTAATTTAGAGGAGAAATACTTCTTGCTCTCTAACCTCCTCCTAATCTTGTTATAAATCCTGTTTAAATCAACTAAATTTCAATTTTCAGGCAAGTGATGCATACTTGCAAATGGCCATTGGTAATGCTCCCTGGCCAATTGGTGTCACCATGGTTGGTATTCATGCTCGTACAGGACGTGAAAAGATTTTCTCAAAAAATGTGGCTCATGTGTTAAATGATGAAACTCAGCGAAAATACATTCAGGCCTTGAAAAGGCTGATGACAAAATGTCAGGAATTCTTTACTACAGATCCATCCAGGTGTGTTGAGTACACACCCAAGAATGACTGAAAAGTCTTAAATCTGTCACACAATTTATTGATGTACACTTTTTTCTTTTCTTTCACTTTGTATATATGCTCATTATTTTAACATGTCAATAAATAAATTTCTTATTAGTTTAACTACTGTAACTGTGTGTTACTTATTCATAATACATACATGAAGGCCTTAGAGGGTACACATACTTCTGGACCAGCAGAATGTAGAAAGGAAATCACAATGATCCACAGCTGTTTCTATCTGTGATATCTCAAATTTTGTTTTCAATACCCAATTTACAATATTTTTTTTTTGAAAAAAATATCCCAAATGCACATGCAAAAGTAATGGTCAGTACGCCTACATACTGAAAATGACAAGTAAACCATGAACTCCAAATTAACAACCATCTTGGTGTGGCACAAATTCTCTTCTGATTTTCTAGATTAAAAACATGTCTGCCTAGACCATTGTTTAGAATGGCAGTACTAAGTGAAATTGTTATGAAAGAAATCAAACCTTAATATTCAATAGTAGAAAAATATAGACTGCAGCGGTAAACACAGAACTTATCACTTACAGTATCGATAGAAACATTGTTGAATACAAGGGATAACACCCTTTAAAAGACCAGAGTAAGATCAGAGAAAATAACGTGCAGTCAAACTTTATAATAACAATTGTGCTAAGACGGTATCATCCCTTGGTTCCTCTTGTGTTGTGCTCCAGATCTTCTGTTGTGGTTGGCTCTGGATGACTTGTTTGTATTCTTTTTATCTCGATTGGTAGTTACCTGCTTCTCTTGGCCTTGACCTTTCGGTTTTCCTGTAATTTAAATATTCACAGTGTACAATCAACAATGAAAGAGTTTATTTTTTGTTTATAATTCCATATTTAGTACAATTTACTTACCAACAACATCAAACCGCTTTTCTCCACTTGCAGAACTGCTGCCACCTCTACCTGGATTGATACCTCTACTACCACCCCTACCGCTTCCTCCTCCCCGTTGTTGCATCTGTTCAGCTCTCTGTCTGTCTCTTTTGGCTCGCAGCAATGCAGGATCCTGACAAAATGCATCCCTTGTTGGTGTGTCCTCTGTGACCTCCGCTTCTTCTTCACTGCCCTCTGAACTCTCTACTTCCTCACGAGATCGTAAGACTCGCGGTACTACAAACTTTCGCCTGTAGCAAGCATTTCAAAGAAATAGAAATAATATCAAAATGAATCTCAGGGAAAATAAATATAGAATAATAAAAAATGCACTATGATAGTTTTTACCTTTGTTCAGCTTCACCGGCCTCCTCGATAGCTAAGTCATCGTCATAGGTATCATCATATTCATCATCGTACATACTTCCTGTGGTGTCTACTGTTCCAAAGCGGTGATACATGTCTCGCAAACCTTTCACACCAGATTTATCACTTAACAAATCAAATGCATTCTTTGGAACTGTGCGCCTGTGTGGTAAGAAATGAAACCATCAGTATGTAAAATAGAAAAGTCATGTAAGTTGAAAGAGGTGAATGTACTACTAACTTTTTGCCCTTGTGAACACGTGAAGTATCAATATGGTCTCTACTCATTATGTCGAATTCATCATTATCAAATATGTTGGACCTCTTCGGAACATCAGAGTCCTGAAATCGATGTCAATAGGTCAAATATAAGATGTAAGATAACAAAAATAATAAGAATCTAATAATTATTTTTTTTAATTACAAGAAAAAGAGAAGACATTTATACCTGTTCTTTGGTGACGTCTCCAATGTGTACAGCACTGCGATCAAGACTTTTAAGAGCGTCTGGCAAATTTTCCTCGAGTAACGCATTTATCACAGCTTCACTTTGGTAGTTGAAGTGTTCCAAACAACACTATAAAAATGAATAATCACATGAAAATTAAAAAACCCTCTACAGTCAAAAAATGTTGAAACAGCAAACAACATTCCTACCTTTACAAAACCATCACCAAGATCAGGTAGGATATCTTTCACCTCTGTAACTAATGAATCAAGTTCAACACCTGATGGTTTGTTGACTTTACCTTGACCAAGATTTGAACTAGTTGATGGACTCTCAACCAATGTCAAATTTTTCTAAGACAAAAAAAAATGAAATAAACAAAAATATTCATTAGGTTTGATTAAGTTTTCAAAAAATATTTTTGGTATACAAACCATAGACTTTGCAACACTCATAGAGGATGCAGATTTAAAACAAGGAGCATCAAGATCTTTTTTCTTAGGAACAGAGTATGAACATAAGACTGATTCCATAAGATAATTATATTTGATAGAATCACTAAAGAAAAGTTAAGGAGAAAAATAATTTAGAGTTGAAAATAAGAATAATAAGAAATCCACATTCTGATAGGGTTAGAAAAGGATACAGATCAGGTGATATTTGGGCCATAGTATCAAGATCATTATCAATACCATATACAGCATTATAATCTCTAACAAAAATTTGTTCTGATAAGCAATCTGTAAGCATTGTCAAATATTCATCGACACTTTTCTTCAACTCATCTTCAGTCATGGCCTCCCTGTAAGAGATGATCACAAAATTATCATCACTGAATGCAACAAATACTGTGACAAGTGAATTACCTCAAACCATTTTTCTTAACCTGTTTTCAAGGATGTAGTGCACATAACTAAGACTTATTGCTTTGAAGAATTTGAGAATTTCCATTTTAGCAAGGCTTAGTTTGTGCTTGAGATCAACATATTGGGAAAGTTGGTCCTCATTACAACCAATACCTTCTACCTTTTTCTCTATTCTAGGAATGGCTTCATTGTAGAACATTGCAAGTCTAATAAAGAAAAAGTAGAATTATTTTTGGTAAAAAGTTTTACTTAACAGTGCCGTTTAAACAGACCAGATCCTGACCTATTATGGAAGTGCCGAGAACGAAAATCAATGCTGCCAGAACTAAATATATCCAAAAACACAGCACCAGTGGACACACTATCTAGTAAATAAAGTAACTTATCTCTACACTGTTCAGGTGTCATGTCCTCAAGGAGAGTTTGATCATTACCAAAGGTCAAAGGAGCTGGCTCTCCACAAACATTTAAAATGGACGCTGCACCACAAAAGCTATGAGTGAGAATTCTCAATGCCTGAAATTAAGGGAAATAAGCATGGTACAGTAGAACTTTCAAAAGAAAAACTGCAACAAGATGCAAATGGGACTTTACCTCTTCAAAGAAAGTCACAACTTGAAGAATATCATTCAAGTATCTGGGTTGCCTACTGAACAGGCTTTCTACAAGATCTGTTATAGCTTGATGGTTCTCTCGTCCAAAAAGGTGACACAAATCTAAGATTACTGGTAGGGTGAATATATGCTTTTCAAAAACTAAATCAGCTTGCCTTTGAACTGGAAAATAGTGATAAAACTGAAAAACAAGAAAAAAACAAATACAATAGACTTAGGGAGTTTATGTTGATTATTCAAAAACTGTCCTCATAACACAAAGTATGTACCTTAGAATCAAATACACTCAATCTAATGAAAGCCTGAAATACTTGTTCAGCTGTTTTATGATAGGCTTCTTCTATGCGAGGAGTTGACAAGAATTCAGGAAGTACATAATATGGGAGTGCTTCCTGAAGAAAAGATATTAACCCATCTAAGGAATGGGAACCAAATAGTATTTGAGACCAAAATCTGAAACGAGAGATACATTAATTCTATAAATAGTCGTACTAGGAACAAGGGTGAATATTTGTTCCAATGGACGCACATACCTATGGTGTTCAAGTGACAAAAGCCAAGTGAGTTCTGACTGAAAATGCAGGTTCCGCTTTAACCACGTCTCTTCTTCTTCTTGAGCAGAAAGTCGATCTTCGGATAGCTTGGGAATAGGTGTGTAAAGCACTCTCGGTCTGTTGACACTCCACCATTTGCTCTTAAAAATTAATAAGAACAAATCATAAAAATTTATTGATCATTATTATAAAAAATTGACAGCAACTATGAAAACGCAGTACTCACAACAGCAGGTTCATCTTGGACAATACCATTCATGTCAGAAAAAAAAAAGATGAGAAAACCTGCAAGAGACATGATCCAAAAAACCATACAGTGAGAAAATTTCAAAGCCACAAAGATATAAAGTGTAACCATATTGCCTTGACTGAATGATTGTGTTCATGTAAACAAGTGTTGAAATATAAATAAAAGATAATAGAATTTGATAGCCTCGAATGAATATTAAAAACGCAATTAATATTGGAATCCTTGACAATTTTGTCTTGATCCATTAAAGCAGCAAGGTAATTATGATTTTATTTTTAAACGGCCTGTGTAGGTTATTGTGGAACAAGGCCACTCACAATGAAAAAGAGTACCGTTTTACGAGGATTTAGGGATGATGACATCCTACAGAAAATGCATATACTCACCAGTGTAAAAGAAAGAATTATGTTTAAGATGAGTTAAATGTTGGGAAAATTTTTAATTTGTTCAAAGAGGACTCCTTTCGCTTTTTTGACAACACAAACAAACAGATGAATGGCGTGACGAGACGACGTCATGTCACCGGTAATTATTCACAGCAACCGGTGTTTAGTGCAAATAAGGGTTTGTGTTTATTTACTTTTGAATGATTTGTATTTGTGAATGGTGAATGAATATGTACTTCACAACAATGAATGAATGAAATAATGTTGATTATTTAACAAACAAATGAATGGATGCAGCTGTACTCTTTAGTGAATTTTTTGGCGTTCTTGTACCTTGTTGGTAGAAATGAAAAGTTCATGCTATCAACATAAAAAGAGTTTAGTTTAACCAATGTCATTTTGTTTCTGCTGGCCACAGTTTACTCAAAATGGATATAAATTCGGTTGTTGATCTTTTCCGGCTCGACCTTCTACCTGAAGATCTTGTTCATACCCAATGGAGGGAAGGGTATTTCAATGAAGACCTAGAAATATCAGCAGAATTAGAACTTCATTTGGATTCAGGAAACACCGCTGATTTACTACTGTTTTTGTCAAGAGACTTCTTCTTGAGGGTCCAGACCAGCACTCGATGGCCTGACATAGTTCAGGCAGGTTTTGATTTCAAGAAGACTCTCTATTTGATTCACTACTTGTTGTGCAAAGGTGTCTCTAGAGTAGAGGAAGAGCAGTGTCGCACTTATGGTTTACTAGCATCAAGGGTCTATTTTTCTTTCTTAGCTATACCTGAAGGTGGATCGTTCTTGATTTACCAGTCCAACCTGTATCAGAAATGTCTCAGGCTTCTACAATGTGGCTCTCTTCTAAAAGTACCTGAAGTTCAGTCACCACTCAAAGGCCGAGGACGTGGTTCACGCCAGAGTTCAGACGATGTTCAGTCACCTCTTTCACCACGTAACCCGCTACCTACACATGAAATGAACAGTTTACGCAGACTGTTGGTTGATAGTGCACTGGACTTAGTTAAAGTTCTACTGATCAGTGAAATAGGTCGTGAAGGAGATGCAGTACCTCTGACAGTTGAAGCACTTTCAAATATTGCTACCCAAGAGACAATGCGACCAGATATGCTTTCCCATGGAGTGATTGAGCCTAGTTCCACTTCTCTTGCCATGAATGCTTTCTGTGGTCTTCTGACACTGTGCTCTGAAAAGCATGGGGAAGTTCAAGAAACTGTTCGCTTGATAATGAGATATACTCTTGAAGCCTTAGTGATGGGATTCAGGAAAGAAGCAAAGGCTCTACCCTCCACTCATTTACATGCTGTGAGAGATGTTTTCACTGATTTTGTCCACCATGTATGCTTGACAGCAGGCCATGCTGCTCATGAAGGCATCTTCATTCTACTCCAGCATCTTTGTATGTGTGCACCAGATCGAGCAGAATTTCGAACAAAGCTGGTAGAGTCTACTGTAATCTTAATTTTAAAGCTACCTCGATCTTTCCTTTTTAAAGCATGCAGCATTATTGTTATAATGTCTTGCCATGACAAAGCATCAGTCCGTCTGTTTTCTGTTGAAGTCTTGGGAAGAATTTTAAGTACTTTCCAAGTAGCATTTTCCAATGATAAACCTGAAGAAAAAGAATACAAGCTTTATAAATTATTGTTTGCTGCTATGCTTGCTCGAATTCAGGATTTGTCTGCTTTGGTGCGATCCAGAGCAATGTCTCGCCTTGTTTCCTACCTTAAAGAATCTTCTGGTAATGAAGGTTGTAAGTATTTGGTTTCTGAACTATTTGTGGAACCGTATGTGGACAAGAGTGTGCAAGAAGCTGCTAAACAGAAGTTCAAGAATTTTAATGATATAGCAAAGGCTCTACAAAGTGGGGAAACTTTAACAGATGTTTATATACCATGTGCTCAGTCAATCATGCATGAATTGTCTGAGTTTTGTGATGACCACAAAGTAATGGTGAGAAAGGCTGCACTGCAATTTGTCCTTCAGATTCTGTACCTTAATGTAAAATTCATGGACACACGACTACTTGCTGTAAGTTAATGTTGAGTTGATTTAATCTAGTTGTTTATTTTCATTTAATACATTCTAATTGCCTGATGCTATCTGTTATCTTTTTCTGTAGGAAATTGGTGCTCACTGCAGAGATGAGGCTGTTCTGGTTAGAAAAATGATGGTACAAGAATTTACAGACTTACTCTTAATGTATCCATCTCACCATCAGTTGTTAAGACAATGGACACTCGATATTGTACCTTCTATATTTGACACTGAAGTTACAGTTGTAGAAAAGGTCTTGGAGGTATAAAAAGTGTCTTTCTGCTGCCACTTTTTCATTACGGCTTGAGAAAATTGCAAAACTTTCCATGTTGTTTTTGTCCATAGAGTTTTGAAAGAGCAATTTTGGACAATATGGTTAAAGAAAGTCAGATTCAACATTTTAGGCATCAACTACCTTGGATTATAATGAATCAAATATCACACTTGCAACTTCGCAAGGCATTTCTAAAAGCCTGCAGTATGTGGAAAGAAGAAAAATTAAGGTTTCACATAATGTTTTTAATTTTATTCGCAATGGTTGGTTTCATGTTGGTGTACTAAGAAATTTGTTTGTCTTTTAGGTCTCGTATGATCATTCTTACTTTAAAATCACATATTGGAATGGGGAAACCACACAATGAATCAGCATGGGTAACTCTCATGTGTCTTGCAGAATTCATGTCAATAAAGGACCCAGGATTTGTCCTGGAATTTTACCATGATGAGATTTATGGTGTTCCCAATGTATGTTCCAAGTACAGTGGTTCTATGCTCCATCTTAATTCTTGCTATGTCTGAAGTTTGTTGTATTCCATCCAGGTGAGCACCTACATCAGCCAGCTGGTCATGGAAGTTTTGTGGTTGACATGGAGGCAGTTGCCTTCCAATGATAAAAGCAGCTTGGCTTACGAACTAAACACTGACCTACTTTTATTCAAAGTACCTGTGCCTCTGATATCAAGAGCTGTAGATATACGCTATGGTTTGCATGTGTCAGGAAAGGAAGGGAGTGATGTCGAGAATCCACCAGATTGGGCTGTTGATCTGATCAAGGTAAGTAATTTTAATTTTTGACAATAATAATTCTTCAAGTTTTTCTGGATAAAAAATAAAAATATTCTTGCTTTTGTACAGAAATGTGAGGAAAGTATTTTTGAGACCCTGATTTTAAATTCAGAGCAGATACAGGATGAAGAAGCTATGAAACGCTTTGTTATTACTCTGGGCAATGTGTGTCTGTACTACCCAAGGTTAGTTGGGAGCCGCACAACAAACCAGCTCCTGCATATGCTTTCCACTCCGCAAGAAGGCAAGGAATAAACATTGTTTTGTGACAAAATGAAGAGCAATGTTAATTGTTTTAGGTATAGACTTGAAAAATACAATGATGAGTGTATCTTGAGAGCCTTTATTTTGTTTGCAGAAGTGGGTGACTTTTGGCAAGGCTCCTGTGGTGTGGAATTGAAGGCTGGCTTGGTTGTGACACTGGGAAAAATAGGTCTTCAAAATGAGTCATTTGCCAAAAAGTTAATTGACATCCTATCTAACATTCTCTCATTGACAAAAGAATCTGCATTAAAGAATAATATTATCATATGCCTGGCTGATTTATGTATAAGGTAAAATTGAAAGAAGTTCATTTTTCTATTGTGTTATGATTATGAGATACAATAAGATTTAAGGCTAGATCTAAAATGCCAATTGAACAACACATTCTCTCATGTTATATTGCTTTAGCATAACAACTCCAATGATATTTATTTCAGACACACCTCACTTGGTGATGAACTTTTACCTGATATGTGTGTTTGCCTGAAAGACACTTTACAACCTGTGAGACAAAATACCCTCAAACTTTTGATCCAGCTTGTTCAGGAAGACTACATCAAAATGCGAGATAATCTCACATTTCATTTTCTAAGCATGCTGAATGATGAGGACTACACTATTGTTACTATGACTCGTGTTTTCTTTGTTGATACTGTCCTTCGAAAGAAAGGCAACTGTTTCACTACTTCTTTTATTGCTTCCATACTTCATTTTAATGGATATGAGGCAAGTATGCAATGGTTTCAACATGAACTATATATGGAAAAAAGAAACAGAAAATGGTCTGTACTTACTAAGTTCTATTTCTTTTACTTCAGTACCGTTCCACAAAAGTTTCCCTAACACAGCGAGAGAAAGAAGTATTTGATGTAAGTGGCCCTGTTAACCAGGAAAAACGCAGAAATATTTACCGTTTTATGCTTTCTCACTCTAGTGATGAGGATCGCTTCACCATTTCAGGACATCTGATCATAGAAATATGTAGTGAGTCACTTCCCTCCTCACTATCATTTCCTGCATTGGTTTTACACCCATTTATTTAGGTATTTTACCTTACTGATGATTTGTGTGTTTGTGTTTCTTCTTAGATGGAGTTTTGGATGGAAAAATCAAGTTAGATGAAAGTGGTCAAGATGTCCTACGAGACTGTCTGTATGTTATGGACTGTGATGAAATTCACATCACGGATAATAAAGATACGGAAGATGATGATGATGCCCCAGCTGATGAAGAGGATGCTTGTGAATTAGTTCTGAATTTTGCTCACAAGAAATTGTTTTCTGAAGTAATTTACTGTTTTACAAAAGTTGTTGTCTGAAGTATCTGTTAATATTTGTAGTAATATTTTGGTAATTTTGCAGCTAGTAAAAAAACGCCTCATAGAAACAGACATACCAATTCTGTCCAAGCTGAAAAGAAAGTTAGTGTCAATGCATTTACCATTAGCAACTGATGTTACAAGAGTGTTGAAAACAATGGTTAAAGATTACAAAATTGATGTAAGTTAGAGGAAGGTTTCTGCGTATTTTTGTAAAGAACTACTGCTGACATTTCTTTAATCACACTCTATTCTTTGCAGCCTGCTGATTTGAAGGATCCTCAACTTATTAGGGAACTAAATAGGAAAAGTAGTAGTTCAAACTCATCAGATGTGTCATCAGATGAAGATACTAATTAAAACAATTCAATAGGTTTTAAATAGTTTTTTCTATGTCAGAAACTGTGATTCACTTTGTCTGCACCAAAGATATTGTGTGTTCATTCATTTACATATGTTAATGTGTTTCCTTACTTACTCAAGTTGTTCTTTTAGTTTTTAAATTATTTTTTCAAATTGAGCAATTAGATTGAAAACGATACCTCTCATTTAAGTGATTAGTTGTGAAATAGACGTAATCACATCCTTCCTTTGCTTCTCATTTCCTTCAGCTCTGCTACCATTTGTAAAATACATTGGTTTCATTTTATATCCAAATACAGCTCGGCCCACTCTAAGCAGCATGTGAAGTATATCCAACCCAGTAAGGATAGAACAGCCCAGACAAAGGCTCGCCATACCACCGAAAGCAACTGCAAAACAGATGTACCAGTAAGAAGCCAGAGGAAAAGCATCAAAACTCGAAATTTGCATGTCCATACCAATTAGATCCATGCTGGTAGATGACAACTTTTGACGGTGTAGAACAGCTGTGCGGAACATATCGTAAGATATCTCCAGAGTTGAGCCTAAGTAGGCGTCTTGGACCTTGACGTTGATGGATGGGAAACCCCTGACTTCATAGTTGTTGATGTTGCAAGCGGGAATGCAGTGACTGCAGTTAATGGCCTGCAGGTTCAGTCCAGCCAGGCAGGGTAGCTGCGTAAAACGGCACTCGGGAATGCCATCTGCCAGCAAAAAAGGGAAGGGCTATTATTGGGCTAATCTTTGAGTCATTTAAAGGTAGCAAGTTGTGGTTGGCACTGAACTGTAGAATACCCCGCGGCTGGCCTCGATGTAGTACGGTGCGCAGCCACAGGTCTTGGCAATGCGGAGCACTCGGCACTCGGTGATGCACTCAGACTGGGTGTACGTGCGCGCTATCTGCACCGGCAGCTCCCCGTTGAAAAGACACCCGCGTTTCTGAGCAAATACAACATGTCAGGTGAGTGATGTGACACGGGTCAAAGTTTTCTCGGATCCTATTCTCTCTCACTTTTGCCGGCACGCTCCTCAAGTCCCTAGCCGCTACCGTGCCCATGTAGGCAACCGCCATGGATGAGAAAACCCTCTCAGTCGTCCGGAAGAGATAAGCAAGGTTGACGTCTGGCAACATTTCTCTGTCGTGTATCATTACCTACGCACAAATTAAAATTTAAAAATTACAATAAATTTAATATTTGAAAATTTTCAAAATTTCCACAAATTTATTATTTAAAATAATTGTTTCGAAATTACACGTACGTAAACATTGTTTATATATGTCCAGGAGTTAACCATTAGGAACAGGTCCTCGCTCTCCCAAGCGTCATGGGGGTTCCTGTGAAACGACGGGAATGAGTTTTGATTTGAGCGCCTCATTATTCTGTCATTCCCCGACGGAGAAGCATGCGTACTTACTGTGGTCTGAAGCCGGGCCGTGCGTCTGGTCGCTGCCTCAGCTCGTCAATGAACCTCTTTTGGAAGGGAGGATGTTCCAGGGCTAGAAGGGACTTGTTCGGCATCTTGAACACCAGCTCCAGCCCCGTGCCGGGGCCCGTCGACCACACGTGGTGACAATTTTTCTCGGAACTGTGACCCATAATGCGAGATGATTTAACGGGGTGTACTTTACACTGACATTCTCAAGTTTGGGAAGGCCTAACGACGAAGTCGCGAAGCTCCTACCAGAGTATCTTGGGCCCCGTGGAGGTCCGCGAGTTGAAGGACATGCAGTAGCCCATTTCGGTGAGCTGCAGCTGGAACTGGTCGCAACAGGAGAAGGCCACGCCGCGCCAGTAGCAGTGCGCCAGGACGTCCCCGCAGGTCATCCTCCCCTGCAGACGGTACAAATCAGGTCATATCCAGTCATATCGTGCGGGCCGACAGCGGAGAGCGCCACGCCACACCCCTCTATAGAGAGTCCCCAGTCCCCCCCACCTGCATCATGATCTGGGAGATGACGAGGCCGTCCAGGAAGGCCAGTTTGGATGCGAGGAGGCGGAGCCCCGCGTTCATGAGCTGGTACTTCGGGTACTGGTAGGAGGTCAGCACTTGGAAAACGCCGGATAAGAGGTCCGTGAACTGCGTGCGGTTCAACAAAGCCATCGCCACCTGAGCCGACGACTGGTTGCCGTTGTCGAAGCGGTCGACGTAGCTGCGGGGTCAGGCGCACCAGTAAAGCCGCTGCGTCCCTTCAAAAGGACCGGCCATGGTGGCCCCGGACGTGTTCACTTACTGGATGATCGATTTCCTCAGCACGCTCATCCTGAGCCGGTTCACGGGGCACAAGGTGATGGCGGGGAACGGGACGGAGTGGGTGGCCAGGTTGTTCTCGTCGATGGTCGTGACGGTGGGGCTTTGCAAGTACTCCTCGTACTGGTACCACATCATTTGCAGCAGCGTGAATCCCGACACCAGGATGGCCACGCCCCACAGCGCCCTGTGAACAGGCCGAGTCAGTGTATCCTCCACCCCACCCCGCCGAGTCCAAGTTCAAAAGGCCCCGCACCGCTCTGCAAAGCAGCTGGACTTGTTGCCGATGAAGGCCACGCCGTGCAGGTGCGCCGTGTGCGTGTAGTCCAGCAGGACGGTTTTGATCCTGCCCCACACCGTGCTGGGCCCCGGAGTGGAGGGTTGCTCGAAGCGGAGCTGGAAAATGGAAAGCATGCAGTCCGGAGAGCGAGCGAGCGAGCGCCCGCCGTACGGAGGATAGGCAGACCCGCCACACAGACCGGCTGAGCGGCAGGCCCGGATGCCAGGGGACATGGCTCACGTCAGAGCTCGGGCTCGAGTCATGTCTGAGACAAGAACCCCGACTTGAGCCCGTTCCGATCCGGGCTCACATACATACGGCAACCACCTTCACCTTCCCAGGCCGCTGCACGCCGTGCAAGCCGTGCTTTGTATTACTACCTATCTCTTGAGGGATGCGCCCGTTTCGTTACTCACATGGACAGCAGCGGTGTTGGTGGCCGAGTGGACGGGGCCGCTCGCGTTGACGGTGGGACTGGACACGACCTTCCGCACAGCAGCCTCCGCAGCAGAGGGGCCTTGCTGTGGGGAAGCTGCTGCTGCCGTGGGCCCGGGCTGGTCCGACTCCACGACGGGCAGCGCTGACGCCGCCACCTGCTGCTTGTTGCCCGCGGCCGCGAGCCGCAGGAGCCACTCGTCCTCCAACCAGGAAGGGTCCACCGCCGCCGGCCGCAGCGTGGGCGTGGGGGTGCGTCCAGGGGCGTCCCTCGCCTCCATGCTGGCCGTGTGTGTCTGCGGTGCCGACCCGTGGACGCCCGCCCGCAGCCCGACATCGATTGCGAGTATACAAGTATACACACACCACACACCCGAGGCGTAGGACCTTGATTGCTTTGCCAACCAGCAGCAAATTGCTACGCAACCATAGAGGGCGAGGTTCCACCACTTCTCGTCCGAAGATCTGAAGGATAAGGGCCGTATTTGCACACGGGGAGCGCCAAGAAAATGTAAAATTGACTGCAACTTTCTGCTAGGGTAAAAAAGTTTATTTGAGAACAAATACCGGCCTTACATTACAAGGACATATTATTTGGTGTTGTGCAAGTTTCAAGAGCCGCAAGTAAACGATACAAAACTTATAACACCACAATTGAATTAACAGCAGCACATTGACAACAATCATACTATACATAAACATATGTATATAAAAACATTGGAAAATAGGAACAACAAATCTACATCCTCAAAAATGTATTGGAGATCAGTACAATGTAACAGGTAAAAGATAAGCTTATCAAGAAAATTCCATAAAAAAATTAAACAAATATTGATATTAGATTTAACTGGCATTATGAATCTAAGCAACAAGATATTGCTATAAATAAATTGATATTGAACGTTTACTTCTATATTGACAGTGCATATTTGTCAGAATTGAGCACACCCATTATTGCTTACACAAAGAATAGCGCTCTTAAAAACATTATACAGTATCTTAAAAGAAGTTAAAGTTATTACCTCATTTTGACATGGTAAACAATTCAATATCACACTTGGAACTGGTAAAATTGAGCTAGATACCACCAGCATAAAATTTGAAATTTTTTATTTGATGCACAGCACACAACATAAAGATCATAAAATGTTAATATGCTGTGTGTTATGATTCAAATAATAAATACCTTCAACAACATTTCAAATTAGCTAAAAGTGATGTCTATAATGACATGAACAATAGATGTAGGACAAAAAAAATTTCTTAGGTGATAAAAAAAGTACGATAAGAACATGATCATATATGTGACATAATTGGCATTGTTCGATTCATTGGTTAACTCCATAAAGCCGCCGTTCAATCTTTGCCTGCTGTCCCCATGGCTGTCACTATCAGTTCTTTAAAATTTTGAATGAAATAATGTAGTTTGACTTACTGTTGCCGCCGGCGCTGGCGCCGCTGGCGCCGGGCGGGAATTTTATAGGCTTTGTTTTTTCGGCCCATGTTTAATTCTTATCTTTCTTTCAAAGCAAACTTCACTTGCAGCCAATTTGCACAGTTTTCACTGTGAGCAGACCATGCATCAGGTTGAAATTCAAAGTTGAACTTAGAATTTATTAGGCAATGCACACTAGTTTAAAAAACGTGCATCTAGTGCTAAAGGCAGCAAAAGTCTATATACAAAATTGGACGAATATTATTGGTAACTACTAGGTGCATTCAGTATTGTCATAGCAATGGGAAAAAGACACGACAAGAAGTTTCCTACATTCCATTGATAAGAAAAGTAATAACAGTTAGAGAAGTAAGTAGTACGATCAAAAATTCAGAAACAACAAATACACAACTTAGGAAAAGCAAGAGAAGCATGAAACTGAAATATCCACAACAACACAAGTTCAAAAACTTCAGAATGAATATCACACAATTAGTTTGTTTTCTTTGTGTTTTTCTATTTTAAATATAACAGTCTTCATCTCTGAGCTTTTTGAGTGGTGCCATGAATGATAAATATTCTCACCTTTAGCAAAGAATATCTGATCAAATAGTACAGTCAAGAACATCAGAACAGTCTTCAGGGACAGGGGCAATGCAACATACATTCCTCATGTGAGGGGGCTTTGGGGCTGGATACTTCTTATGAGCTGTCCACTTGCTTGGGTTAGGAAGAGCTGCTACTTCAGGCTGACGCAGGGACTTTGGCATCATAATGTGTTGAGGAGTTGGACAATCTTCAGTGCGGTATCTTATATCTCGCAAGTACGTTTCTTCTACAGGGGTGTTTTTTATGTTACACTCAGCAAGCCTAAGAAGGCTGCAAAAAATGTTTTAAAAGTTTAAAAATGGGTTCTGAATAGTGGAAGTTACTTTTATGAATGAAAAACAAAGATGAGTACTCACCCATTTTGATGAAAGTCAGTGGGCTGATTTTCTTCGCTAGAAACATGTGTTGCTTGAGACAAAACTAATTCAACTTCTTCTCCACTGGAACGCATAAAACGTAAGGCCTCTTCATACCTACGATTTAATAAGCAGTGCCCATCTACAGCTATTAGTCTATCACCTAACAAAAAAACAAACAACAAAATAACAACTTATAAATGGTAACAAAGAACAGTATTATGAGTTGCAACTAAATCTTAAGAACAATAAAATCGGCAAATAATATACCTCTATGAATTGAGCCCAACTTTGCAGCTGCTCCTCCTCTTTGAACAGATTGAATGTACACTCCACCATCCTCTCCCTCAGTTATTTCAATACCTAAACTGCCAAGTCTGTCTCTCTGTAACCTGTACAGAGAAGGAAGATATTTAGACTTGGAGGTGCTATCTGGAGTAAGCATAACAACAATGTAGGTGTGACATAAATGTAGTTACCTAATAGTTCGGAGGACGCGTTCTTCTTCGAAAGAAACATTGCCCATCTTTTCTGCGAGTGAATCACTAATGGACTCGTGGGAATCCATTTGAAAGTGTTCTTCAACTGATTTAATACTTGAATCTAGGACAAAATATAAATATATAGTTTCTTGGAAACATTTTTAATATTCTCGTTCTCTAAACCAAGTAACACAATGCAGAGTACATACTTATCACATAGGCTTCTGCAAAAGGAGATGAAGGGGCTGAGCATTCAGAAGGAGTTCTAGTACCGCAAGGAGTGCCACTAGTACTGGCTGTGCGATAGTGTTCGGATGTACCTGCAAGAGTCTGACAACTATTGCCCAGAGAATACGCTCTAGTGCCCATCCTTACTCCAGAACGCCTTGGGAAACTAGGAGTACGATTTTCACTACTAGGCACACCATAATAGGTCTGAACAGATGTTCGTGAAATAGTGGAGGCTGGGGAAACAGAAGCATGATTGCTCTGTGGCGATGTTGCCATCCTTCTCGTATCATGCCTAGTATCCCGAAGAAGTCCTGTAGATTCAAAATTTAAATGGATTATCAATGTAAAAAATTACTGCCATAAAATATATTTTTTGTAGCTGAATTAGGGAGAATAAGAAATGACCTATAGAATCGTATGAACCACAACGCTGGTGCATAGGTCTGGAAGCCCACGTTGGTAGTTCATTTTCTTTGTTCTGAATTTCTTCAATGTTTTCTGAGTTACTTGCTACAGCAGCTCCCAATATACTAGCTAATTGGCTGAACCGGCAGGTAGATTTTGGAGGACTTGGCAAATTGACAACCTACAATTAAAACATTGAAACAAAGAAAGATACAAAATACAGATTTTTTTTCTGAAGGTAGTAAACACAATGTCAAACGAAAAATTAGTATACACACTTGACGTGACTTTGCTGGCCCAAGCACAGCACCAAGGACTGATTTAATGTCTGACTGTACAGGTTTTGGTACCACATCCTGTGGCTCTTGACTTTCAATGTATGATAGATTATTTTTCCTTATTGGAACCCCAAATTCTACATAAAAATAATTTAGAAAAAAAAATTAATGGAAAATTTTTACTTAATGTTAAAATGTAAAATTAATACAAACATGGCGATAGAAAGAAGGACATACCAGCTGCAACTGATTGGAGAGAACTTAACTCAGCTCTATACTTTAAAAAGAACTGATGTTGCATTGAAGCGAGTCTAAAGGTAAAGTAACTCCTGAAAAAAAAAGGGACTGTAAATAATCGGAAACATTGTGAAGGTTTCAAGATAATACCAGTAAACCAGGAAATGCACTAACTTGCGAAGATCCATTCGTAGCTTAATTCTTTTCCCACTAGAAGGCTGTAAACAGAATTGCTGACGACTGTAACTCAATTTGCGAATATCTTTCCACTGATAGGTATGCATAATTGGTCGTTGTACAGCTCCTGCTCGCCATTCATGAAGACTAATACCATGAGCAGAGATTGCAAGCCAAACTGGTACATCTTTGCCAGATTTCTGAGCCTAAAAAAAGGTTTTGCATGAATACCAAAGGAAAAAAATAACAAGAAAAACTGACTTATACCCTTATTTATACAAAATGAGATATATACTTACACAACTTGCGGCATAAAAATGTGTACCATATTCAGAGAACTGTTGTGCAAGGGATATGAACATTTCTTCAGCTCTACCAGGGTCCAGACCACAACGTTCTTGGTGTGCTAGCTGCAACTCTTTTCTTGCAATTGTCTCTTCAATAGATTCACTGTCAGGGAGATAATGCTCCAGAAGAAAATAGTCTCCACATCCATGCTCCTGATTTGCATAAGACAAAGCCAATCCTTATACACCAGAAAATAACAATAACTATGTAAAATGGAAAAATCTGACTTGCACATCAGGTTTCATACCTTTTCAGTGAAATCTCCAAATTCGGCCTGGAGAGCATACCCCATGAGAACAAATAGCTGAATCTTACTAGGACAGCGAAGCTGCTGCTCTAACATACAACGCCTCAGTTGCAGATACAATTGATGTTTTAAATTCCAGCTTCTGAAAAATAACAATTAAAGAATATAGAAAGCTATTTTTTTGGAAACATAATTTGAAGGAAATTTAGATATAATATATAGTCTTAGTGAATAGTTACCTTATCCCTCTCAAGGTGGGTAGAAAGAATTTGGTTCTCACATACATAGTTAAGGGTGGATGTCCTCCAAACGGTTCTAATAGGCTTGATACAGTGGCAGTATGGGGTCGCCGACACTCATCCCACAACCCTGCAGGTGAAACCTTACTCAAGCGGAAGTCAGCAGGAGGGAAGACAAAATCTCCTCCCAACAAAACTGCTAATCCAAGAGTGAAATTATCCTCTACTGCTTCGCTACTCATAACAACCTGAAAAAAAAAAAAGAAAGAAAGACAACTTGTTTAGACCCACAATTGAAATCATAAAGTTTATTTTGAAAAGCAAGTTTAGATTCATTTACCTCAAAAAGTTGTCCTGTAGTCATAGAATTAGTATTACAGCTGACTTTCAATTTACGTCCATTTAAGAGGATAACAGTTATACGTCTAATCTGAGATGAATGCTAAAGTACAAAATATAGAAGAAGTAGTATAGATACGAAATAGATAACTAATCAAAAAGATCAATGGTAATGGTGGGAATACCTTGATATCAGTCATGCGTATATGTTTGACAGCACTGGAAGAATTCACAACAAATTCAGGACCAATGCATGTATTAGGGCAACAGTACTTGGCACGAGGATTTCCTTGAACTGGCAAGACAGTCCTATACAATCTCGAGGGTGCTCTTTGAATTGGATGTTTCCTTGGCGGTCCATCATGTGACCTCACAGGAGACACACTTCTGAAATTGCAAGTAATTGTCAAATTAAGAGTGAAATTGCCATGAGCTGAAAGAATTTTGATTTGAATCTTAACTTACTTGTTTAATTCCATATCACTTGTCTTGATATGAGACACGTGCACCATTTGAGTATCACCTGCCTCCCTTAGTAATCGGCGTTTGACTCGAGCTTTCTCCAGTTCAACTTCTAGCTGTGCCAAGGGAGCATCAAAGCGATTTACAGTCATGATCCAGTTGTTTTATCAGAATACGCTCATTCACAGAGGAGCAATCTGGAACATAAGTAAATGACATTACTAAGAGTACAACCTAACAGTCACACAACAAAAATTAACAGTTATTCAAAATTATTGAGAACGTCTGCAAAATTGATTTAAAGTGATCGATTTGGTGCGCAATGAAATATAAGAAATAATAAAAAGCCGTCTCCATTCAAGGTACCTGTTGCACCTGTCGCGACAAGTTTACTGAAGATATTTCGGATTAACAGATTACACATGATTAAACGGTGAAATCTACACGACGTGAAACCAACTGTTGTTGAGTATTTAACAGGTCAATTTAAACAATTTAAATGGAACAATCTTCTAAAAAACTAACGAAGCGGCTTGATAAGTGAGGTTAGGAAGGGACGCCGTCTTATACACAACGCTAAAAACATGAGATCGCATTTTTGTAACGGGAAAGGGCTGTTACCTGAGTACAATGCCTTGTAGTACGTAATAGTTACATTATTTCACTGAAATGAAAGCTGGTCATACACCAGTTATTTATCCTTTTAGTTCTCAAACAAAGGTTTTCCATCACAAAAAAATAACTGTTCTGTTTGTTGTGTTTTGTGTTTTTTTCGGCTCGGCTGCGCTCCGAGCACTGAGCCGAGAAAGAACGTTGGAAGGGGAAAGGGGGGGGGGGAGGGATTTTCAAATGCAGCGGTAAACTCGGCAACTTCTTCAACTTTAAGGACTTCAGCATTTCTCAAGACTCTAGGTAATCGTGATCGGGGGACTAGGAGCTAAGCATGCGGGAACTTTTTAAAAGAAAACGGGGCGAGTGGGATGTATTTCCCCTCTTATCATCGCCAGTATCACCTTCCTCCAAGAAAAAAGTAATTCGTCAGAAAGGCCATGGCACGCCGCGGATGGAATTCCATCCTTTACAAATTAGATATTCACACCCTTCCTGGTGGGGAAACAGGGGCTGGAAAAGTAGACGCCGAGGCCGAGGCAGACGCTCAAACGACCGCCCCCCCCCCCCGCCCACACAATTTTTTGAGATTATTCTTTTGGAGTAGAAAATCTTGGGCATGTCGAGGAAAACAAACGTTGTGAATGAAATAATCGCAAAGAATTCGCTGTTTCAGTGCAGGAAGTTAATCTCTGTTTAATTTCCTTTGACGACCCGTTATGCCGGGTTTACGATGGAGCTTTTTCGGAACAGAACGAAATTTGTGCGGAACGGAACGAATCCCGTTTGCTTGTTCCTTATGGGCGTGTTTACGTTGCCGTTTTGACGGAACAGAACGAAATCTTAGGCCGGAACAGAACGACTGGTTCCCATTTTGATGGGAAGGAGCGGGAACAGAACGAAGTTTTTCGGAACGGAACGAAGGGTCAGCCAATGAGGAGGCGTCCCTGCGATACGGAACTCACTTTCGTTCGGTTCCGTCACTGAAACATCATGAACACCCTTCGTTCCGTACCCGAAAATTTTGTTCTGTTCCGCTAAAATCTCGTTCTGTTCCGAAATCACCAACTCCATCGTAAACCCGCCATTACCACGTGCAGGGACAGGATCGTGATCGTGTGGATGTGGACACAAAGTGGATACCACCACCACCACCACCACCCTGCCTTTCCGGGAGATTGGTTCAGTCGGGTTACCTTTTAATCCTGGACCCATTTTGGAACTTCGTTTGTTTTAATACTCCTCGACGTAGCACAAAACGCGAGACAATACGTGTAATTATATTCTTTTTTTCCCCCTGGTGCTGCATCACTCTTTCCCATCCCAGGCTGTCCGCAGCGGCGACGAGGCCATCTGTCCCGTTCTGCTTTAAATTCTCCGCGAGGTGCCACGGGGGCTGGGGAGGTCAGGGGCGATGCGGGGTGCGGTGCCCCCCTCCCCCCGCGGTTAGTTATTTCTCCCCGGGCTCTTGTCTTGACGTTTCGCGTCGCCCTTCCAAAAGCCCCCCCCCCCCCCCTCCCCACTGTCCTGTCCCATCCCACGCTCTTATTCTGCAGGCCCGCTGTGTTCTCCTTTTCCTCGTCAGCGGAGTGAAATGACAAAAGCACGTCGTCTTGCTGCCTTTTCTGCGGCCGAGCTGGGCAGCGCCAGCGCCGCCGTCCCGCCTTGGTCGTCCCCTTGGTCGCGTCACGAGGTCCGCTGGGCAGCAGGGCCTTCCGTGCGCCACTCCCGCCCGCCAGGCTCGCTGTTTTGTGGACTGCATAATAACTTACACTCTTCAGTAGGCGGAGCAGGCCAACCAACCCCTGAGCACCGAGGAACTGAGTGTTCCCCGGTGAACGCGCCGGTGCGAGCAGGTTTGCCTACCCGGGGGGGGGGGGGGGCGATGGCGCCTTACGGGTGGGTGCGGTAGGCAAAATATACCCGCCCGCACTGGCGCGTCGTGCACCGAAACACCATCATTCACCATCCCCATAGGGCAGCCAGATTTCCTCCTTTTCTCCGCGGGGACAACGACGACGACGACGACGACGACAAACGACGAAAAAGCAGGTGCTGTCAAGACACTACAACAATTAGCCGTCATGCTTCGGTGCTGAGGAGAAGAGAAACATTTTCGCACTTTCGCCGCTGTCTGTTGTGTCGGCAGGCGCAAGGGGGGCGTGCGGCGCGGGAATGGGTGGGTCTTCCCGACAGGAAGGAGAGGGAGAGAGAGAGAGAAAGGGGGGGGGGGGTGATCATCATTTCTGAATGGGGTGCGAGAGATGGTGACTGCGGTGCCGGTGGGTTTGAGTTTCACCTGCTGTCCCCGTCGGTATGTTGGCGCTGCGCTGTGCGCGCGGTCTGGTGCCGGGGTAAACCGGGTATAATGTGTTACCCCGTTTGAATCAAGATGGAGCTCCCTCGGAAACGAAGTAGTTCCATGTCCAGTGCATTCCCCACCCACCCCCAACCCCCACCCTGGGGGCCGCGGGGCGTTCGAATCGAAGCGGAGGCGGCAGAGAAGGGAGGGCCAATAATTTCCGAAACAAGGCTCGGAGGAAATATGATCCTGTTTGTTTTCCCCATCAAGCCCTTTCTGTCCTTGTCCTTCGCGTGGAGTGACTGAGTTTATGCAATCGGCGCTCGCGTGAAAGGCAAGTGTGCCCAAAAGTGAGTTTGCCTATACCGTCACTCGCCATGGTGCCTGACGGCCCCGTGCGAGTATGCAACCTGTTTGCACGCGTGAATTCGGCACAGTCTAAGCAGAAACAGAAAGGCGGCGCGGATCAGCCATCACTGTAATACAGCCATCACGATCACGATTGGCTAATGGCCTTCAAACTATGAGATTCTGACGAGGAGAGGCTTTTGCAACGCCGCTCGTTTATTTTTTGCTCCCTAAATGACACGCTCCTCTTTCGGCGTGGGACGGGTAAAAGTAGTGCGGGTTGCATCGCGGTGGTGCCGGGAGGTCTGCCGGTCCCTGACCCCGCCCGCGCTCTACTGCTTCACCCCATTTCAGCTTGTCTGTGCCACTCGACCCTCAACCAGTCGCAGCGCCAATTAAAAACTTTGAAAAGACGAGAGAGAGAGAGAGGAGAAGCGAGAGAGGGAACGGAGAGGAAGATGGGCGGAAAGGCGGGAGAGCGGGAGGGAATCAGAGAGAGGCTGCTTGCGGACGCTTTCTCCCCCACCCCCACCCCTTCTTCCCGCCCCCTGCATCGCCCCTGTTCCTCTCAGGATGCTGCCACTGCAGACATCCGCCCTAGTTGCCGCCGTTCCGTTTGAAACCCGGACCGCATCGTCGGCTTTCTTTCTGTTGCAGTCCAGCGCGCAACTCCGCCACAGTTCGTAAACTCCCGCGCCGCACCGGTCGGGTGGAGGGGGGAGGAGGCTGATAGGTGCTGCTCTCTGGTGGGGTCGACCTCCAGCTCACCGCCCGCCGTCTTCGGCTCGGCTTCGGCTCGGCCACGGCCACGAGCGCTCGGTACCGAGCGACGGCCGACACGCGAACTACCTTCGCTATGTACGCCGGCCTTGCTTCTCTCTTTTTCCACACGCGGACGTGGCGTTATTTCTCTTCCCCAACCTTTCGGACCTTTGTAGAGTGTCCCTCCAAGAAGTCGCTTGCGTCCTTCCAAAACTACGGTCGCATTCCGACCAGTTGCACAGGCGCGAAAATGCGGTCTATGCTTAAGTACTAAGCCTTAAGCCGGGCTTGCCATCCGGTCCCATGGTGTAATGGTTAGCACTCTGGACTTTGAATCCAGCGATCCGAGTTCAAATCTCGGTGGGACCTATCCACTCAGGATTACTTTTTCGCCTCGCGATACACACGCATTGAGAAGCATTAGAACTTTTTTCTGGTAACTGTATCAGTTAATGATTTGCACGCGAACTTTTTATTTTCCCAATTCGGCGACCGCAGGCAGCCGCAGTCGCCTCGCGCGGCACGAAATGGAACGCTGATTGCCACCATGTTTGGACTATCTTCCTCGAGCAATCACTTGGTGCTCAAGGACGCTCAAAGTATCGCCACAAAATGGCGTTTTCAACAAGTGCTATTGGGGCGTGGCGGGGCGTGGCATGCTCGGGGTGGTCGTGGGTGGGGGAGGCCACGGGGACTAAATAGCCGCCTTCACAGCGTCCGCCTGACGGCAGGAGTCTCGCTCCAACTTCTAGAGCGAGAAACTTTTTTTCTGCCCCCACCTCACCTAACCGCCCTTCTTTACGCGGAACATACACCGTTAACTTACTACCGGGGAGATGCAATAATCATGTCAGAAATGCTCAAGTAGAAATTTCTGCGGTAGACTGGCATAGAGAAAAACTTAATGTTGCAAAATTATTATGTCACTAGGGGAATTCCCTCCATCGCATTTTCAAAAGAAATATTATTGTTTTCTGATATGATTTTTTCAAACCTCAGCTGAAGAAACATGCAAGGCATGGAAAATTTTTCGCATGTTACCTAACATTGATTGCTCTCCGCACACGTGATCCAGTCGTATATAGTAGTCCTAACCAACCCGATGAAAAAGACAACATTCCGAGTACGTTGTGACACTTTCTCTGAAAAGGGAGGAATGAGGGAAGGGGTGGGGGTGTAAGAGAGCTGCGCTGCTTGCGGCGTGCGGAGGGGGGGAAGCAACTTGAAGCGGGAGCTCGTGTTGGTTGATGTGCTAAGTGCTGTTGGCAACTAATATGGTGGGAGGCGTTTGTCGCGTCGACACGCCCGTTCGCCTTCCCCCAAAGGATTTCGGCCGTCGGGCCCCGGGGCCGTGCCAAGGGTGACCCGCCGCCGCACCACCCCCTAAAACTCCTCGTGTGCCTTAGTTCTACTTCCGGCTCCGCTCGACTAGTCGACGACCTGCTGCCTCCGCTTTCGGGTTTCGCCACTGGAGTAAGGACTAGTGGAGCGGAGACAGCAATAAACCTGTGAAGCTCGCTTCAGCTCCGGTGAGCTCGGTGCGTTGAGCGCTCTCGCTCCGGACAGTGGCCAGTGGCCAGCTCGGGACTCGGGCCCTGCCAAAGCTAGGGTATTGGGTATTGAGAGCAATAAAATCAAGAGATAAAATGTGCTCGAGGCCGCCTTCACTTGGGGACAAAAAATATGCCTCCGCTTCCCATCTCCACTAGTCCTTACTCTGGCGTTTCGCCACCCACACTCCATAGTCGACGCACAGCAGTGTAGTCACCGT